TTGCTCCCAGTAAAAGTGAATCCACGAGAAAAAAAAAAAAAAAAGAAAAAACCTCAATTATATGTTGTTTATCCTTAACTTAGAGGATTTGCAATGGTTTATTATTCGATGATTGTTTTGAGTAATACATCACTGTATGAACAATCAGCAATTCAGACCAGTACATCATTTTGAAATCTTAGCTTTATATTTAAGTGTTTCTAATTAAATGCATAGAACTGAAAAAGTTTGTAAGATTGTTCTATTTTACTGTTACATGACTGAAAAATATTTTAAAAGCTAGTATCAGAACAGCCAGTTTTAACCCTGCTTAAAAAAAAATCTTTTAATCTATTTTAGGCTCCACAACAGTACATGAAAAACCATCAAGGGTCTTTTTATTACCTTATCTGTGCTTCACTGACATGAACTGAAAGACAGGCTTTTGTAATCTGCATTAAAGTTCCAAGTACAACATAAGCATTCATTAGTTGCCAGTAAGTAGAGTGGTTTGGTGACTTCAATTTCAAACTTGACATTAGGATTCCTTTATTTACTTGCTCCGATTCTTGTATCTCTGTTCAGGTATACAGATAGCTTAACCAATTCTGCTTATCTTCTCCAGCACCGATTCTTACCAAATGCAACCTCTCCTGCTATTGAAAATTCTTAGAGTTTGGGCAGTGGAGGAGCAAGAAGGTATATGACCATGCACACATTTATAGAGAAGCTACACATCAAATGCTGAGACCCAACTGAGGGGGATATTCGGGGGGGTTTCCCCAAGTGGTTTGAATTAGCTCTTGGGCTTCACCCAAGTTTTCTTAGCCAGAACTTTTGGAACATGGTTATTGCAGAAGGATATTAAAGCATTAATCATCCTATTATAAAAAAGTTCAGTTAAGACACCAAAGATTCCTGTTATTCTTTCCAACTCTTATTATTTCATTTTCTTTGAGATCTAACACTAAGTCAAAAGAAAAGCTGGAATGCAAGTCACCATGAAATGACGTACATTTCACTGCAGCGTGTGGGAAGAGCTGGCTGCTTGCTAAACAGCAAAGCAGTGTTGCTATGCAGCTGCCTTAAAACAGTAATGTCTTTCTCCATCATACGTAAAGATTTGAAATTTCTAACATTTGCAATACCAAAAGAAAGTATGACTGGTTATTTTATTCTGTATTTGTACAAAGATGAAAATGAATAGTGTCCTGCGTACACTTAAATTACTAAGGAAGATTAGTCAGAAATCATTAGAGTGAGAACCTGTTCAATGTTCTCTGTTCCACATAAATAAAGTGTCTTTACTTTAGAGAAAATAACTTGCTTTTACTATAAAGTAACTTGGCTCTTCCATGGAAAAGTTTCTCAATAATATTCCATGCATACAACTGAGTTAGAAAACACCAACCAAGTTAAATTAATAAATATGACTGTCTTTGTGACAACACTAATCCTAAAGGGCAAACACTTTATGCAGGGCTTTACACTAAGGCTGCACGTACACTTCACTTGAGAGAGGCACGAGGGAGGAAAAAAACCTGACTATAGCTAACACTGGAATCATGCCCAGTCCTCCTCAGCTGGAAGTAAAACTTTAAGCTCAACATCTTGACAGAAACAGGAATAGGATGGCAGTAGGAGGGGGGGGAGGGGAAACCCACACACCACAGAAAAACAACTTTGTCTGTGAGAATGCCATTTTTGTTTCCATTTGTCCTATCCTTGTTTGCTTACATTTTTTTTCATGCAGATTATCCCCCCCCAACCCTACTTTTTTTCTTTTGTTCATGAGAGTTTTTTTTTCTTTCCTACATCTGTATTGCCAAAGACTAGGCTTTTATTTCTGTGTGGTACAGAGATCTGGTAAGTTTTTAGCATCTCCCATAAAACTGTTTTCTCTCTGCACAGAGAGAACCCAAATTCCTTAGCTGTATTCAGGGTACACCACCAGAAACCTCAGTACCAGTTCCTCAGAATCCTCTGTCCGAGCACTATTAATTTTTACAGCACTATCCAAGTGTTATAATGGGCAGTATAATTACTCAAACACAACAATTCTAATGGGAAAAAAAAAAAAAAAACAAAACGTAAAAGTTACTGTCAGGATGCAGCCACAGAAGGAGCTCAGATAAACAATACCAAGAGAAGTGTCATCAAGAGTGTTGGTGTTTGGGACATCACCCAAAATATTTGCAGCTCTGGGAAAACTGCAAAAAGGGTAAAGGAATGTGATGTGCTCGACAAATGCCTCTGCTTACTTACTGTTCAGTGCTGCAGGAAAATAAAACCAGTAAGAGAGAGATACCTCTTTTACTCCAGTCCTGTACTCAGGGTGAAGAAAAGGAAAACTGTAGATAAACCAAAAGGACACAGCCATTCAAAAAAGCAGTGTAGAAAAACATGAACAGGTTAATGGCCCAAAGAGGTAATGAAACATCTCTTAATTGGATAACAATGAAACAATCTGTACTTACAGATAGGCACAAGGCTTTCTGATTCCCTTTCCCCTACCATATACCTACACATGTTAGAGTGGGACTCTGCAGCACCTCAAGATAGCACAAAAATTGGGCAATCAGTAACACTTTAACTTAAAATATCATAATCAACATATTCAGAAACTGATAACTTTTACAAGCAGTAGCACAAGATCAAATTCTGTAGACTAAATTTCCTCACAAATGTGGCAATCTGGAAAATAAAATTAATCTAAGTCACACATTTCCCAAATGACACATCTGGGAACAAATATGGTTACCTGTAACTTTATACTGCATCGGCACTTTGTAAAATATAATCACAAAATGTAAGGGAAATGCCAAAGATGCAGATGTCCAAAGTGCAACTTCATTTCTCAGAAAATAATGGCATCCAGCCAGTACATTAACAATAATATTTTTTTCTTCTGAAAAGGAGAAAATTAATATACATTATTATCAGAGCATAAGGCTGTGAACAGAGACAATAAAATATCACGGATAGTGACTATATCCTAAAACAAAAAAGATTCTGATGATGGTCTGTTAAGGAGAATACAGAGATGAAATTATATTAATTACTTCAACAGCTTGATCCTGATTGCCTTATGTATCCTGTCTACTTTGTCCTTTCATTTGCAGTGTATGAGCTAAAAACCCATTGAATGGCAACTACAAAACTAATTATGTTAGTTTTAAGATGATGTGGGTAGTAAGGCAGCAGCAATCAGCACTGATGCAAACAATATAAAAATAGAAGGACACAGATTGCTCAGATGTACCAAGCACAAAGTAGTTCAGAATTTGGAAGCTGATCTACACTTTAGCTTGTATCGTAATTATGAAGAGTAAATATGAAGCAAGAATAGATTTCCTTTCACTGAAAGACTTAGGCATGGCTCTAGATCAGTAAAATTCAGAAAAAACATTTGAGAGATCGTAATCTAATAAAGGCTAGAAACCGTGGCATACTCATCTTTCACAGAAACTATTCATGAGAATTTTTGGAAGCTATAGCATAAAAGGCAAAATTTTAAAAGTTACTCATTGGCTAAGGATTTTTGCAAGTCTACAAAAACTATGCCATTGGCTAAAAATTCCTATGGTAGAGGTAAAGCACAATCATAGAATCAAAGTGGAGAAAACAGTATGTTTCCTAACTGAAACAGTTCAGTGTTTTCAAGTTTCACAAGTTCCCCCTGTACTTAACTGTATTTGTAAAGGAGTCAGTAAGCTGAGAAAGCCATATAATGCACACCAGACAAACTCATATAGTATAGAGGGAGCTGTAATGATTTACATTGTGAAAAAGCAATATGAATGATTGCATATGAAATTCAATGAGATTTTTAAATTAGAGCATAATCGATAGAAGAAAACCACTTCTAACAAGATTATTTACAGTAATCCAGTCACCATTTAGCCAGCAGAGCATGCTACTGTATCCAGACAAGGACTCAAAAAGGGATGAAATATTGCTTATAACAGATTGCTCTACCATTATGTCTATACATATATATGTGTAGACATATACATGTGTACATATATATGAGTACATATATACACAGACAGAACACAGTGTTTAGTTACAATTAACACTAACTACATCCCCATTGATCATCAGCCTTCAAGTCTTGGGGCGCCTCATCTCTGCTCTACTCGTGAAGGCTGACTCGCAGGTGCTCTGTAACATCTAGGAAAGAACTTGCTTGGACAGGAGGGCTGCATGCTGCCGTTGGAGGCTGAACCCTGCCCTCCCAGCGGGTCCCTCTCCCGCGATGCCAGTGGAGAGCCTACAATGCCAGGGAAGGATCTCTCCTGCCTCTCTCAACCCAAGTGGCCATGGGAGCTGCAAACCACAGTGCAACAGTGAGTTTGCATTCTAAGAAGCTGGATAGCTGGACAACTAGCTGTCACAGCCAGCCTTTGTGCAACAGTCCCCCTGCATTTGCTTAGGAAGATGTTTCCATCCTTGTTCCATCCTAGAACAAAGGGCCTGAACAAGAAGAGTTAGCACAGCAGGGCACGCCTTAGTGAAGTAATCTATCGTATGACAATTTTTTTCCCACCCAACAAATGATCACCAGGAAGTAGGGTTACCATCCCTGCAGGCAACAATTAATAAACAGGACGGATGCTTATTGTCTGCTTCAGACTGGATCACAGGGTTTGGGGGGCCTTTGAGATTCTTACCTGCAACGGCAAAATACAAATATACCCACAGACTAAGCAGCATTTAGTCAGTTTAATCAACATGGCACTACGTGACTATGGCTTTAGCACAGTGCCTATCTTCAGGTGTTCCGCACCATCTTTTCGTTCAGTTGCAAATTAACAGCTTGTTCATTGTGAAATTATACTGAGGCACAAATAAGAAAGCAAACAGAAAACTACATTAACCTATGACACTAAGTGGGGAAAGCAGCGCTTGCAAATTAGCTCAAACCGCTCTTTTCAATCCTTTGAAAGGCTGCTGCGAACATGTGTGAAGCTGAACAAGTCTAACGTCTAAAACCTGTAGCTATGCCAGGAGCAGAGTACCTCCGTATGACCTCTGGCGTTTCACGCCGTAGTTTAAGATTACCACCCCCGCTGCCTGCCCCGCTCTTCTGCCGGGAGCGCCCGTCTCCGCAGCACAGGCGGCACAACCACCACGAGCCTGCATCCCTGGAGCTCAGGGCTCTTGCACAAGGCCTGCTGGGTATGGCCTGGCCTGTTTATTGTGGGGCCCTGCCAGATTTAAACCTGTTTGGTGCATTTGTGGAGTGCTGCATCAAAGCTAAAAAGCTCTTCCAGAACTACTGGTACTCTGAACGCAGCATATACACATTTCTGCAATGCAGTCACCACTAATGCCCTTCTGGCTACCATCCAACACAAGTTGGCTACCTGCTAAGACAGCTTATATGTCTTTTTGTCTGTAGTGTGGCTCACAACTTGGATGGGCTATATGTGAAAAGTTTTATTTCTGTACTTGTCATCCCTTCGTAATTCTGGTGGCTTATAAATCCTTAATGTGCTGGAGAAAGCAGTTGACATTAAAATGCTTAAACTCATCCCCTTAGCATAATATTTGCACTATTCTTACTTTAAGGTTGTTTGAAGAAGCTTTTGGAGTTCTGCAGTGGAAACATTTGTTAGGACATAACTTCTTATATTTGGAGATCTAGAGAAACTCCAGAAACTAATTTTAAATATTGTTTTCTTCTCTACTCATTTGAGGGGGGAGTGGGGAAGTTCTGAAAAGTTTGAAAACTCTCAGTTGCTTTGATTTACAGAGGCTCTTGTTTGTTATTGGGAAGTTTGCTTTCAGTTCTGAAAGGAGGAACTCAGATGCGAGACTCTGAATTCAGCTATCAGCAGTGGAGTATTGAAAGTGCTCCGTTTCATTAGTAATTATGGTGTTAGAACTCTTCTGCTCTCTAAACAAATTTTGGTTTGCCCTTTTTTAGACTTTTAGATTGCTGTTCCTGCTATGTGTTCTGAATAGCTTGCCACCTTGTGTAGGATGTGGAGTGGTTTAGTGTGTTGACTAGACTGCATGCCCTTCAGAAACAAACTTTTTATGGTTTCCTAACTATAAGTTACACTATGCTTTAGGCTTGTATGTAAGATTTGCATAGTGAACAAAAATGGTCTGATTTTCCAATAAAGCCATTAAAAATTACAACATGAATTTTGCTTACTAAAATGCAGATATGTTTACAGGGTTACTGAAATGGGAAATTCAATTTGATTTAGTGTAAGGTAGATAAAACAGAACCAATCAATAGTGTTCAATTTTGCTAGCAAAGTATTTTCCTTCTGGCCATACCGTCTTTGGAGGAGTCAGACCTTCTAGGCTATTCTGCTTGGTTTTATTCTGCCATGTAGCATATTGCTGATAAGATTAAAAACAACATTCTTTCTGGAAGTCTATCTGGACTGTTTTTTCATGGTCAATTCAATGCACAAATATTCCAGAGTGTAATGCTTCCTAATTGCAATGTGATATCTCTGTTTTTAAGTAGGCCATCAGGATAGCCTAAAATTAACTTCAGGCCAATATTTCCTAAAAATAAAAAGGTAAAACTTGTGCACTTTCTGGAATGCAAAGCAGATTTCTTAACCCAAAATATACTGAAATAATTAATTTGCAAAGGCACAGCTTCAACTAGTTCTAAATTTAATTTTTAATTGTTTTTCAGATTCTTCTGAGTTGTACTTGAAGCCGCCAAAATGGTTCTAGCAGATCTTGGAAGAAAAATAACTTCAGCATTACGCTCCCTGAGCAATGCTACAATTATCAATGAAGAGGTATGTGGTATGCATATTTGATGGCATTAACATTTAGAAAACAGTTCTGAGAAAGTTTTCAAAGGCTGATGAGAAGCTTGAAGTAGGTTGATGTTATCTTGAGGCTCTTTTCTTATTTCAAGTAAAATTTCTAGCTAGAGGTTTTAACCCCCTGATAGTACTGCCAAAACTTAGAACTGGATTTAGACATGTGCAGTCACCTTGAGCATAGTGGGTCCCATGGTCAAAGTGTCCTTGAGCCTGGTGACTGTGCTTAGGGAGATCAGTATTCTGAGGTAGTGATGCTGGAGGAGGCAATATGTTCCTAAGTTCAGGTGGGAGGTGGGCTGTGAGACTGTGTAGAGTGCTCTGATTTATTTGTGTGCATGCACAGATAGACTATGGAGATGTGTACTAGGCTGTTAGAAACTGAAGTGTGGAAGAACAAATAACTTTCAGTGTGAACTTTGTTGTCTAAAATGTGAGGATAATGTTACGTTCACTGCCTTTATATTCAAGCCAATATAGTGTGTTGTTCTGGAAGCTGTTTGACTTGGTGTAGTCTGTGGTTTTTTTAATTAAGAGTTTAAAATGATGTTTTCTGTTAGTTTTCCATCTTGCTTTTCAGTCCATGTAACTGATGTGATGGTTTAGAAGTGCCTATGAGTAAACAAATTTCTAGAAGCTCTATTCAGGTAGGCAGACAGGTGGCTTAACATAACTAAAAAGTAGGCTCATTGAGGGTTGTAGGGTTGGAACTTGTTCATAGAGGAAAGGTTTTAACAAATTTTCAGCTGGGAGACAACAAATCCTTAACTGAATAAAATGTAACCCAATTAATTTTTTTCAGCAGTAGAAATCTTTTTTCCTGCAAGAGCTCAAGCTGTGCAAATAAGGCCATTTATGCAGGTGTTACTTTCAAAAAAAAAATATTTGTTCAAGACTTTCACTTTGAAAAGTCTTAGAACTACTAAAGTGGGTTCCTAACTGAGGCACTGGTTTGCCTAAAAAAGGCATACCCCAGAGCAGCAGTGCATTTTCTGCTGAAAATGCAGATAGTGGCGTGTCCCTCTTGCACTTAAGGAATACTTTTATTTGCAGAGATTGTGTTGCGTTAAGAGGTTTCTTTTGTGTGTTTGTGTTACAACTGTCTTTAAAGGGTACCCATAGGGAAGTTTAGGAAGCCTTGCTACCATAGGAACTGCTGTTATCCTTAATGCAATAGGGAGTGTTCTGTGTTAACTTTGTTACACTGTGCATATTACAAAGAGGAGGACCCTTCTTTTCCAGTATTACTCTTTCCAATTTAAATTGCATTTATGTAGGAACAAATGTATAGACTTTTTTGTGGCAGTCAAAATAATGGTAGGACTGCATGTGTTTAGTTTGTAAAAGCCTTGTTTATGTATAGGTTTTTGCATTCTTGTTTTGAGTTAATACTGGCCTAGTCAATGCTGTGTATTGCAAAACCATTTTTCTTTTATACTCCAAAGGTTTTAAATGCTATGTTAAAAGAAGTATGTACAGCATTACTGGAAGCTGATGTTAATATTAAACTTGTGAAGCAACTCAGAGAAAATGTCAAGTAAGTGAAATCATCAAAATGCATTTAACTTCTCATGTTTGTAGAAGTTGTAATTGAGGTTACAGAAGAACAACTAACTTCTAACTTTATATGGTTTTCTTAGTCCCTCCGAGTTTACCTTTAGCAGGAAAATACAGTTTGAACTAAATGTCTAGCCAGTTCCATCAAAAGAATCTTTTAGGTTTAGCCAGGTATTGCTGTTAGAGTCTTGTTTTGAAAAAACTGTTGCTGTCGTCAGTTAAGTGGTATAATAAGTTCTTTGTTACTTCCTAGACACCTCATCTTTACATGTTCTGTACTGGATATAAATAGATCTGTGTATATGACCATTACTGTTACCTTGGCTATTTTCAGATGTGTAATTCAAGTAGATGCAAGTCTGAAAGATGCAAGTATTTTAGAAACCTGTTATTGTCCATACAGAAGTAATATCTCCAATGCATGTCTCTTGTTAAATACATCCTATCTGAAAGCTCAAGGAAAATCAGAGTGCTGTTCCAGCTGCAAAGACTTAATTTATTACTGGGTTAAAGTGATGCTTTACGTTATGCTAGTGTTTCATGGTTTTCCTAAATTCAGGTCTGCAATTGATCTTGAAGAAATGGCATCTGGCCTTAACAAAAGAAAAATGATTCAGCATGCTGTCTTTAAGGAACTTGTTAAGGTATGACTTCAAAATTCTGTATTATGTCACTTTTCTTGTACAGCCTGGTCTGTGGAAATAGTACAGTAGCAAGCCAAACTTTAAGGTTATTGTGTGATACCTGCAGTTATGTTTTCTGCTGTAAAGCTTCTTATTATTGCAAACAGTAGTATTCTTCTGATTGAAACTACTTCCTGGGCATCTCTCAGACTAACTTCAATTTAAGCTTCAAGTTCAGATGTTCTTACTCTTCAATTGAAATTGAAAGACAAAATAAGGATGAAGTACTGTTAGCTTCCGGGCTGTCCTTGGTTGTCCCAGAAACACACATTTGCTACTCTAATGAAGATTTGTTCAAACTACTTACGGCTTTGAAAAAGTGTTAACTATCAACCCAGCAATTTGTAGCAATGTTTTTGTTTAATTTGCCTGCTTGGTCAAATCAGCACCTGGGTATCAGTATTCTGTCCTCTTTCCAGTTAACAGTATAGTCTTTTGTTCTTACGTAGTCTGTGCCCACCCATATGATGGCTTTCTGGAATGTATGCACCTTCTACTCTTTCGGGAAGTGAGGCAGCAACCCTGAAAAGTCTTCTGTAGTCTAGGATTCTCACCAGAAGAGGTCCATCTTGAGCAGTGATGGTGGGGTGGAGGTTTATGTTTCTGTGTTGGTTGTTGTACTTGTATGGTATATACAGGCCACCCTGACTTTGGTGCTTGGTGTTAGGAAGATATTAATGCTGTTACTCTTAAATAATTATCATGCAGAACACTACATACTATAGATATCTTGCAAAGGCTGTTGCTGTTCACTGTAAATCAGCAAGCATCTAAGCTAAATTAAGACTAGAATTTGCAAAAATTGGTTTGGTCCATTTAATATAAAACCAGACACCTAGCATGACTCTGACACTGACTGTTCTGTGCTTTTGAAATTCAGTTCTACAACATATGTTATACTTTGTTCTTTAGCTTGTAGATCCTGGAGTCAAAGCATGGACACCTACCAAAGGAAAACAGAATATTATAATGTTTGTTGGTTTGCAAGGAAGTGGTAAGACAACAACCTGTTCAAAGGTAACTTGCACTGAATCTGTTTGCACATTGGGGTTTTTTTGGGGTAAGGTGGTTGTCATTGGACTCCTTTGGTAGGATTTGCTTGTGATCTGTGCTGCTTCTATTAGTAGGAAAGTGCTAACTGATTACAATGTAGGGGTATTTTTGCAGAGAGGTTTCTGAGATGACATGAACATCCGAAGTAATATGGGGGGGGGCAATTTATGGCTTGTAGGACTGACTTCAAGATTTCTTTAAACTCTTGATGAAACAATACTCTATAATGAAATATAGAAAGATTCTTTCTATTTGTCACCTTCTGAGTTTAAGACTAGTACAATGAATTGAACCTATCTCATTCCGTTACCTATTTAGGGGAACCAGTGGAAGTTGGCCTCTGTTACATATCTCAGTTAAGTGTGAGTGGGTGGTGTGGAATTCTTCCAGCCCCAAATTCATCAAGGAAATTTGGATTTGCATTTTTAAGGCTAGAAAAGAATGCTCTGAATTAGTGCTTAACCTATTTATGGTGGTTGTTGGGAGGAAAAATTATCCTGTGGAAAGAGACTGATGCATCTTTGTAGCTTTCTTCAGTTATCTGCTCCTGAGATTTACACATAGGCTGTACTGAATATATCACTTCTCTGGTTTCATAAGGCTTTCCTAGGGCTTCTGTAGGTGAACTATGTTTTGGAAGTTTGTCTTTGGTCAGTGAGTTTACATTGTACCAGTGACACTGAGTGTTACAAGGCAGTAAGGATTCCATCCATTGCTTTAAAATGTGTCCTTGCAATGGAAATACCTTTGTTCCTCTGGAAATTCAGAAACAGAGCTGTACAAGTCGTAGCCACAGTACTTCCATATTAAGTAGTTACTGCTTTGGGTAGTTTCTAAAAGCTAGTCTAATTTGCAGTGTAAACAGTAAACGGATTCCAGGAGTTAGGAAAATGTCAACTGGAATTTGTAGTCATTCCTAGCTCAGGAGACTGAAATTGGAAGCAGAGTCAAGCAGCTGTTTTCATCTTGCCATTAATAATTATTTGTATAACATTTTTCTAAATAACAGGGATGCTAACATTTGATACTTGCACAGTGTTACTAAGTGGTCTCAGTCATAGGAAGGCTGGATTGACTTTGTGTCCCCTGTATGTACTTCAGTGACTTACAAGCTGTTATACAGTGTCATGCTTGCTATTGGGTTTTTGTTGTAACTACTTGTTTTTAAATTTCTCTTCACAGTTAGCATACTTCTATCAGAGGAAGGGTTGGAAGACGTGTTTAATATGTGCAGACACGTACAGAGCAGGTAATAGTCTTTAATGATGTGGTTCTTTAATACTTGCAGATTTTTTTTAAATAGTACCATGACTATACCTGTCTTACAGGTGCTTTTGACCAGTTAAAGCAGAATGCCACAAAAGCAAGAATTCCTTTTTATGGGAGGTAAGCATCTTTCAGAATCAGTTTGGAGAAGATTCAACACCAATGATGTATAGTTCCTTATTTAACACCTCACACTAAGCCCTATTCAGTGTTGTCTAATTGCTTAGATTTAATTGTATTTGCTCTGATCAGATAAAAATTTAGTTCAGTATACTTCTGCCAATAGTATCAGGTAAGGATAGTGTAAGAAGAGATCAGGCATCCAGAGAGAATTCCCTAGAATGTTCTCTCAGTGTATAGCTGTTTATAGGCCTTTACCAGACACATTCAGATTTTCAGGAAGTATCTTTACAGACCAAAGGACATGATTTCTGGACCCTTAATTTTCATTGTCAAATAGGGGCAGCCATGGACCTAAAATGGCTTTTATAAGGCAGTAAGTAACTTCCCCTAAGCTTCACTGGAGGTGTCTAGATGCTCAGTTAAATCTTATTTCAGAGATGGTCTAGTAGAACTTAGTGCAGTCTTCAGCAGGTGAGACAGTCCTTTGTGTTTCGGTTCACTGAATAGTAAGGTCAAATGGTTTAGGAAGGTGTATTTTTAATCAATTCTTGCTTGACATAAGAGCAGGTCCCTCTTGAAATCCAGATAGATTTACTATTAACAAGTTTACAGTCAAGTGATGAAAATTTGAATTAGTTTCTTTGGGACCAAAGAATTGCGTGCATATATATATGTGTGTGTATATATATATATATATATATATATGTTTCTCTTTGATCAGTTATACAGAAATGGATCCTGTAATTATTGCCTCAGAAGGTGTTGAGAAATTTAAGAATGAAAACTTTGAAATAATCATTGTTGATACAAGTGGACGTCACAAACAGGAAGACTCCTTGTTTGAAGAGATGTTACAAGTTGCTAATGCCATAGTGAGTAGTTTCAAGAAATACATTAACTTGTTACAGTAATTTGACTACAATTCATTTATGTTTATCTTAATGTTCTTTGTGGATTTCATGCCTATGGAATGTGTCAACACTTTAACTCCTAGAATATATTAGAAATTACAAATGGATATGAATAAACGAGGGCTGGATGATTAGTGATTGATAATTCTGTGTTAGTTTTAATTCTTGTATCTATAATTCAAGGATGCTCACATGTAACTAGGCTACTGCTCCTGGTTAGCTTTTTCTTTTCAGGACCTCTGCATTGCGAAACTAGATAAGAGAACCAGTCTGATCTAGTTTCCTGTAGCTGTGTGTACTACACTTTCTGTGATTGTCATAATTGCCTTGAAACAGAGAAGATTGGATAACTTTCAACAGTTTTGATATGTAAATGAAGCTGGTGTTTCTTGTATGGGTTTGAAATGTCTTGCTATTTGTTTGATTCTGTGGTCTTGCATGGTAGTATGATACTTCCCACACAACAGCTAATGGCTAACTTGTTTTCAGAGGAGTGGATGGCTTAAAGCTCTTAATGTAAAACCAAATGCAAGATGTTGCTAGTCGTTAACTGCTTGTAGGTACTAATTAGCTTATTGGCTTAGATAATGCGTACAATCACTCAAAACATAAGTAATAACTGTAAACCTACTAAATGTAAACATTTTCTGTTGTAGATAAGTTTTTCACATAGTAATACAGCATCAGAGTTTTCAAATGGTCCTTAGACAGAACTGTTCATAAAACAGTTGTTCTTTTATTTTAAACTGCACAGCCCTTACATACTGTTATTGCAGTAAGTTCTGCTACTGAACATAATGTACAAATACTGTTTAAGAAAGCAGGAAATTATTATTTTGTGTATTTCTCATTTCTCTAGCAACCAGATAACATTGTTTATGTGATGGATGCTTCCATTGGCCAAGCTTGTGAAGCTCAAGCTAAAGCTTTCAAAGATAAAGTAGATGTAGCTTCTGTTATTGTTACTAAGCTTGATGGACATGCAAAAGGAGGTGGAGCTCTTAGTGCGTAAGTATTTTGACATGAGTGTCCAACATCTGGCTATGCATGGACAACCATGAAATGTGTTAGTGTCTCATGGAAACCTGTCCTGGTAAAATATCAGTCACACTGTACAGAATCGGATTTAACGGTTATGTTCTTGCCCTACTTCTGCTGGATGGAATCACCCATTGATATTTAACATCAGTCAGAATCAGATATTATGATGTACTTCCAATGTAGTAGTGTGTGTTGTCACATGTCAGACTTCTGTCTTCTGCGAACAGCATCAAGCAATTATATTTATTGCATCTTGCATATTGGGAGTTTTTATCAAAAATATAAATTTGGACTTAATAGATATGGCTGACCTGAAGAGTTTTGCTTCTTGTTTAACGCCCAAGATTTTTTCCAAAAGGGGAAAAACTCTAGCTAGTTGTATTTGATAGCCTTAAGGCTGTGATGCAAATCAAACTTCTGGATTGCCAGTGTCCAACAACTTGGTAAAAAAAAAAAAAAAATCAGTCTGCAGTCATACTTTTTTGAATTCCCATTCTTGTTGGACTTCCCATGTGCTGTATCTTGACAGACTCTGTTGACTAGGAAATGTTACATTTTATCTTCAGCTTTATGTGATGCCATGTCAGACTAATCTCCAGCTGCATTTCAATGATATAGCTTGCATGGAGCTGAGATGATTTGTCAAAACAGTCAGTTAACCGACACCAACATACTAAATCACTGTCTGACTTTGATCTTAAGTGTTAGAGTTCTTAAACTGCCATATGTATTTTGCTGTTATTTATAGCATAGTGGTAGAAAACTAAAGAGAAAAATGAACATACTGAAAGCTTGTTGCAGTTGTCATGCGTTTGTATGTGTTAAGTCTGCTGTGTTCTATCCTTTTTGCAGACTGGTAGCTGAGTTCATCTAAAACCTAGTGCGAGTGATTGATGAAAAGATTCTGATTTTTCTAATGTCTAAGCGGTTTTCCTTCTGTGTTGAAAATTAGATTACTGTCTGTTGTGGGAGGTACCTTGAAGAAAAAGTAATCAATGCCTGTCTCATCTGGCCTTCCAATATTAGGATAAAACGGAGATAATTTATTTTTCTTCCTTTCCTCTCAAGTTGCTTATTTTTATTGCTGAGTTTAAGAAACTTACGCTGATTTGTTTCAAAGCAGAGTTTGTATTTTACAAAGTACTAATTAGAGCAACATCTTGTCAGCTATTCCCAGCTACCCATCCTAAATGCTGGATGTTTTTGCATTAATAGTTTGAGGAATAAGAAAGATACTTCAGAGAGGATGCATTGTGTTGATGATACCTAGCTGATTGTTAGGTGGTACTAAAGGTGGGTGGGTTTTGAGAGGCCATTTCATAAAATATATTTTACTGCAGAGTTGCTGCCACAAAGAGTCCTATTATTTTTATTGGAACTGGTGAACACATAGATGACTTTGAACCCTTTAAAACACAGCCGTTCATCAGCAAACTTCTTGGTATGTACTGCATACAACTGTACTTAAAAGACACTTTGAATTGGATAATAGGAAGTCAAAGTGTAATTTTTTTAATACTAACATAAGAGCTTTTTTTCCTTCCCCCCAGGTATGGGTGATATTGAAGGACTGATAGATAAAGTAAATGAGTTAAAGTTGGATGATAATGAAGCACTCATAGAAAAGCTCAAACATGGTAAGTTATTCCCAAGGCCTGAATGCATTACCATGACCTAATCATGGCAGGTTCTCTTAGGGATGTTAGACCACTGAATTAGTTTGTTATATGTAGAGACAGGTAATTTGTTTCATGTGCATAGTGAAAAATGGTTATTCTTTCTCTAATAAACATGGCAGGCAAGTAAACTGAGTTATGTTTTTTGAGTGATGTCTGTCAGACTGTAACTGTCTTTTAACTGCAGAATAACTAGCTTAACTCTTAAAAGTGTGTGTCATCTAAAATGGTTTAGCCAGGTTAATGGTGGAGAAGAGGTTCATCTACTTATGCATGCAGTATAGTATTTAACTTGTAAATATAAAGAATAATAATTGAGAAAGGGACAGTAAGACCAAAATGCTAGTGTGACTTTTCTAACTTTTTCTTTTTGTCCTTCAGGTCAATTTACATTAAGAGATATGTATGAACAATTCCAAAACATCATGAAAATGGGACCATTCAGTCAGATCTTGGTTAGTTATCCCCAAAATAATTTTATCAGATTTTCATTTATTGACAAACTTCTGCTGTAAACTTAGAACGCTTCATTGAAACTGGTGCTAGACTCTGTGCTTTATGTTCTTCAAAAAGATTAAATGATTTGCTTACTGTGATACGTAACTACTGAAATAAACATGCTGTCTGTGTTTCTGGCTACTTAGTTAAAGTTAGCTTTGCCTGTTCTGACACAGCTTTTGTTTTCCGTTTTAAAATCAAGGGTATGATCCCTGGCTTTGGAACTGACTTCATGAGTAAAGGCAATGAACAGGAATCAATGGCAAGGCTAAAGAAATTGATGACTATAATGGACAGTATGAATGACCAAGGTAAAACAAACTTCACCCACTATTTCTTTTCTCCATTGTTGAACAAGCTTACTTACAGAGATCTCTTTGGAAACAACTTGGACATAAAGTAGCATGCGTCTACAGGAACAAAATGCTGAGGAGCATTTATCACTCTGAGAAATGGCAAGGAATACATATGTGTTTCAAACTTTCTCAATAAGTCTAAATATTTAGAGAGATAGATATCCTGACAATTGCCTGGTGCTCTGTCTTGTGTACAATAGGTGGGATTTTTTAAGAATTACATTGGAAATTAATGGGGTTTTTTATACTGTTGTAACTGTGCTTCTTAAGTTATTAACACTATAATTGCAGATTTAAGTTACATTCATTGTTAATCTGTCATTTCTGTCTGTCTTTCTACCCACCCTCAAATTTACTTGGTGACATAGCCTGGTCTCTGGGATTCAAGGTGTGTTGTTTCTAATCCACATGCTTTAACCTTGTGCTAAACCTGTTAATACGGCTTAAGACCGAGTATGCTGAGAGCATTATTCAGGCAAGTTTTTCTATCACGGTGATTGACATATGAACATAACAGCTTTCTCATACTATTCCCTAGCACATATAATATCAATTCTATGTAAAATTCTGCAGTCACTTCTAAAGCTAGTTTTTTATTTTCTGACTCAAAACTAAATTCTCAACAATGAGAACAAGTTTTCTACCAGCTATAACAGATTTTGTCAGTAACTGAATGGATTTTTCTTTTCCACACTGTAATTGCAGAACTTGACAGTACAGATGGTGCCAAAGTTTTCAGTAAGCAGCCAGGAAGAATCCAGAGAGTAGCAAGAGGTTCAGGTGTTTCTACCAGAGATGTTCAGGAGCTTTTGACCCAGTACACTAAGTTTGCACAGATGGTGAAAAAGATGGGAGGCATCAAAGGGCTTTTCAAAGGTAAGGGGG